GAACCTTCTCTCCTCTGAGCCCTCACGCCTGCTCTGAGCTGACCTGGTAGCTTTGGTGTCTCAGACCTGGGCTTGAGTCCTCGCTGTGAGGGCCTGGGGCAGGTGACCCCTCTTGGAGCCCTGGCGCTGTAGGACATGGGCCAGCATGGGCAGCTTCTGATGGAAGCGGTGGCTGAACCTCCCCAGGCACAGAGAAGGGTGGGGGAGAGACGAGGATGGGAGACCAAGGCCCTGTGGGCGTGGGCCGGCATCATGGTGGAGACCCTCCAGGCACTGGCCTCAGCTAGACAGGGGGAGGGGGAGGCAACTAGAAAAGGCCTCAGCCCAATTTTATTATATGGCCCAATGGGAGGACCTAGTGGACGTGTCAGGAAACAGCTGGGCCCATAGCACGCAGCCAATGAGGAACCGGAGGACGGCCGATTCAGTGGACCGTGTTCCTGCCCAGGGGAGCCTGTGCCATGGGCGGACATCCGCTCTCCACAGCGCATTCAAGGTCTCGCTTTCACCGCACTTCTGTCTCCGAGTCTGTCATTTGAGTTCGGACAGTTCACAGTAACTGTCTACAACGGGGGTTTCCACAGTTTCCACCTGAGTCTCAGACCTGGGTTTGAGTTCTTGATGTGAGGGCCTGGGGCACATGACCCCTCTCAAGGCCTAGTAATTGTCCAAAACAGGGGGTGTCCGCATTGCGCACCACCCGGGCCATGTGAGGTCAGGATGGGGGAGCCCTCGGTGCAGGCGGTGCCCCATCCCAGACCTTGCTGAGGTGGCCATGGCCCTGCGTCTGACCTGTGCCTCCCGCTCCCCTCCGGACTCTGCCAGAGCCAGCAGGCAGCACCCCTGGCCCTGCCGGTAGGCACCCAAGGCCCAGCCCTGTACCCTCTGCTCTGAGCCCAGCGGGAAGCTTTACTGTCTCTGCCTGGGACCCAGCTGGAGGCGAATCCGTTTCTCTCCCAGGCCATTCCCGTTAAACATAGCCCGCTGCCCCCACCCTGAGGGCGTGCCAAGGCTGGGCCCAGTGTTCCAGAGGCAGCTGCCCACATGTCCCACCCACTCCCCCATCAGGGCCCGCAGCCTGAGCTCAGCCCTGGCGCTGATGCTTCTCTGACCCTCTTTCCTCCTCTGAAATGAGGGGGGCACCCCCTTCCTGAGCTGGACACCTGCAGAGACCGGGCGGGCAGCTGAGGTCATGAGGGCAAAGACGGTTGCCAGAGAGAGAAGGGCTTTATTCAGGAAGAGCTGGGGAGGGAGGTGGGCTCCCTGAGGCCCACTTGTGGCCTCCAGGACATGGACATTAGAAGCCAATGGTTGTGGGCATCTGAGCCCCCTTAGAGTCAACAGTGGGGGTTCAGGGGGCGGCCTCAGAGTCTTTCGAGGGAGGCACGGGGACAGCCAAAGAGTTGTCCGAGGGGGCCACCGGGGCCACCCCATCTTGGTTCACGGTGGGCAGTTCCTGGTAGGTCTGGGTCCAGTACTGCAGGTAGCTGCTCCTCAGGTGCTGCTTCATGGACTGGCCGTCCATCTTGTTGTTAATCTCCAGGTAGTTGCCGTTTTCCTGGGTGTAGGGCTCCCATTGGGTGGGCACAGCCGAGTGGCCCTGGTTGGGGTCCCTGCAGATGAGGAAAAGGCCGTGTGGGGTCTGAGGGCTCAGAGGAGGCTGGAGACCTCCATGCTGACCCGAACCTCCAGGGCCTCACTGTCTCCTGGGCACGGTCTGGCATGTATGTGTTCTGTGCCCAACCAGTAACTCTATCCTCACACACAGGGGTT